AACTATTGGGGCGGGAGGGGGGAAGAGTTGATATGTATTCAACATGTTTTGAAATGTACTGCTAACCAGAAGCAGTGTCCCCTTCCCCTCTCCTTTTCCAAAAACAAACTGTTCTTGCCAAAATTTTGTACCTGTCACAATTTCTGCTTTTTTTTCCCCCAACACAGTAAAATACCGTGACACAACTTCTGTCCCACCATTACTACTTTCTGCTTAGCCACCTCTAATATCTCAAGAATGGTATATAATATACATAAAGTCATTGGAACTTTCCGCTGACTTAAAAAAAAAATCAAGTTGGGTATATTGCAAATCTACTTTCATCATTTGAAGACTAAATTCTCTTTTGAAATCCATATAATGTATTTTTAACCTTTTTATTAAATACTTAGATTATTTTAGTTTTTGTTCCAAAACATCTGCGAAAATGAATGAGGATTGCAGTGCAGGTTTGAATCTGCAAGGACATAGGACCAGGTGATATCTTGAGGGAAATACCAAACATGACTGCCAAACTTTGATCAGAGAGAATGTGATTTTACTTTCAGACTTCTCTAACTTTTTCTTTAGTGTATGCAATGAAAAATAGCTGGAATTTAAAAGACCACCTCAATTTTATATAACATTGAAATGCACATAAATTGGCAATTGAACTAATCTCTCTACAAACTAATAAAATGGTATGGGGATATTGTGTTAGTATCAGAGTTTGGGGCTGTTTTATGCATATGCTGAATATCCAGTTCTGTATTGTCGTGTCAGCTGAAGGCTCAGAATAAGAAGTGAACAGAAAGCAAACAAGATTCTGAAAGTAAAATGCTTGTGTGCAGATTTTCAGTGGTGAATGTTGTACCTTCGGTTAAATCATTGTCTTTTGCAAAAATGTATGATGTCTGTGGTTGAGATTAAAAGGACAAATTTTTGTTTTTGTTTAACATTCTGTCACAATACTTGCATTGTGAAATTCAGTCATGGAATTCTTTCTGAGCCAAAACTGTCACCAATGTTTTCTGTGACAGATTCCACTCTTCTCTTTCTGCCATTCTCTATACTGGAAGGAGTCTATGTTGTGTTTGTTTTTACCTTTTTAAAAAAAATTATTGGTTTTAGTGTCGCTTTGCTTCAGTTTGAAGTGTAACTTTCACTAATAACTGCAATAAAAAAAGCTTTGCTCCAAACATCACTGTTGTGTCCATAACTATCAACTCTTCCACCATGTTAGGAAATATGTAGACAATTAATTACAGAGTGTAATAAGCAGATATTACATAACCAGTTGCATATTGTGTGAGTAGGGTGTGTGTGTGGAGTATTAGAATAGGTTGGGAGGAATCCTAGCATTGAATAAACGACCCGTTATTAGTTTTAAAAGTACTCACGATTGTAATAGGTAAAGAATTAGAATAAATGCTTAGTTTTCAGTCCTATCATCTTTTTCAATTCAGAGTAGCACTTCTTTTCTTGCAAGAAGCCCCTTGCAACAAGGATTTTGTCTTTTGTACAGAACCTAGTGCAGTGCATCCCTGATCCTGATTTCTTGCCTGTCCATGCATGGTATGCACAATCCCTTCTGTGTAGAACCTAAAGCAGGGGTCAGCAATAATTTTGGATGGCGAGACACTCCATGAATTTGGAAAGTGGTCAAGGGCCTCACCGTTCCATCCCAGACCCCACACCACCTTCATTAATATGGAAGTTGGGTGCAGAAGGGAGCTTGTGGTAAGGGATTGGGGTGCAGGAGAGGATGTGGGTTCTGAGAGGGAGTTTGGGTGAAGGAGGCAGTTGTGACCTGGGGCAGAGGTGTGGGCTGTGACCTTGGGCAGGAGCAGGTTGTGACCTGGGGCAGGGGACTAAGGTGCAGTAGGGGGTGCAGAGGTTTTGGTTGTGACTTGGTGCAGGATCTGGGAGGGGGTCTGGATGCAGGGGGACAGAGGGTTTGGATTATGTGAGTTGGGGGGAGGGAGTTACTGGGATGCCAGAGGCAGGCTGTAGCCAGAAGACTTACCTGGATGACTCCCGGTCAACAGCTCAGCAGGTTTCTCAGATAAGCTGCCTGCCTGCTCTGCCCCTGAACCAGCTGCAGGGGCCTCTTGGGTCTGTAAATAACTATGAGCCTGAGGAGTGGGCAGTGCTTTGGAGGCTGCCTGTTCTTCAAACAGGCAGGGCCCAATGGGATTGTGCTGGGGGCAGGGAAAGCCTCTCCCCCAGCTTGCAGCCATTCATAGACAAACAGGCCCTCACAGCTGCTTCTTTGAATAGGAGGCAGAGCAGGTAGGGAGTCTGCCTGAGGGTCCCCACTGTGACCACGGGCCAGAGTCAGTGACTTGGTGGGCCACACTTTGCCCAGCCCTGACCTAAAGGCATGAAGTGGCTGTTTGTGTTATCACTGGTACCTTATAGGACAAGGTCTGTCTTGAAATGTTCAGGGAGGAATAAGGTGGTATGGAAGGGGTCATAGTGTCTGATGTGTGTGCAGGCCAGGGGAGTGGAATGAGAAGAGAAATAGGAGGAGCATCTAGAGTGGGAGGCAGGCTTAAAGGTGTGTGTGGGAAAAGGTGGGCAGGAGCAGAGCTTTCAAAGGGTAGGTAAATTTGAACTTTGGATGGAAGAAGAGGGGACCCTGGGAGCAGAGATTCAGGGAAGAAGGGTGGTCAGATCAAGGAGAAGGAAAGATGCTGTCTACACTCCGGATAGGCTGCATGCGAACGAGGCACTGCTTTTCCTTTTCATCTTACCCTCGCTACACATTCGCGCTCTGGTGTGCATCGACTTGGGCAGATTGTGCAGCAATGACCTTCCTCCTTGCTCTCTAGTGACACAGTGAAAACATTCCTGATGCAGGAGGGCCTACAGAGAGGAGTTATTCATTTGTATTGCTCTGACACCTAGACACCATATCGGAGGGGTAGCCGTGTTAGTCTGAATCTGCAAAAGCGACGAGGAGTCCTGTGGCACCTTATAGACTAACTGAAGTGTAGGAGCATAGACACCATAGTCACAGAGCAGAACCTCCATTGTGCTAGCGGCTGTACAGATACCAAGCAAATAATGATCCCTCCCCCAAAGAACTTGGTTGCTCCACCATTCACTGATGCTTAGAACCCAGTTGTCTTATGTCTACACAGAGGAGATGTGCCTACATCTCAGACTTCAGTAGAGTCAACCACAGTGTTGGCTGCAATTTGGTGGACCACATTTTGCCCAGCCCTGACCTAAAGGTGCAGTAGGAGGTGCAGGGGTTTTGGTTGTGACTTGGTGCAGGGTCTGGGAGGAGGTCTGGGTGCAGGGGGACAGAGGGCAACTTTCTAAACTAAGACCATGGGATTCTTAAACACATGTTTTTAAGGCAAAGTTACGTTAAAATATGAACATACTGCAGATCATACATATTTATTAAGGATCAAGTGACCATTTAAAGAACCAGGGTAAGGAGTTTGGTTTGCTTGCTGGGGAGCCATCATCCTTTTGAGGACACTAAAAAGGGTGACCACATTTTTAAACACCTCACCTCATTTGGTGCTTCTCTTGTGTACATGCTTGGTGTGGAAGCTTTTCCATTAGAAGGACTCTCCTTATTTTACTACACTGCAGATCCATAGGAGAAGTACTGGGATGGGTTACCTAGGGAGGTGGTGGAATCTCCATCCCTAGAGGTTTTTAAGTCTCGGCTTGACAAAGCCCTGGCCGGGTTGATTTAGTTGGGATTGGTCCTTCCTTGGGCAGGGGGCTGGACTTGATGACCTCTGGAGGTCTCTTCCAGATCTATGATTGTCACATTTTTTTAACGATGTGCAATACAGGGCTTTGCTGCTGACAAAGACATTAACGTGTCATTCTGTTTAAAATGTAGATCCTTCACTGATGCATTAAGTAAACAGACCAGGGAATTGCTAGGAAGCTGGCCTTTTGTTAGAAGATGAATAGTCTGATAGCTGCCTCTCCAAATCATTCCTGAACATAACCGCCACATGTGTATGTATGTTCCCTTTTCCTCACAACCTGTCCAGCACAGCACCTCCTTAGCAAAAATATGATGAATATTAACTGTAGTCAAATGCCTTCTATCCAGTAATGTATAACTTTATTCTTTGTGCTGCACAACTGAAGATAATATTCCTTTTTCCAATACAGAGAGCTGCTCATTCAGATCAATTTCTTAGTCCAAATCCCTCTCCAGTCTTTTGGTCTGGGATGTTAAGATCTTTTTTCTATTAGAATTGCATCTGTTTTAGAAATTAAACCTTTTTGTCCCCTGTTTACTCCTGGATCAGCTCCTAAAACGTGGTTAAAGGGCTGGACAGAAGCGTCTTGTATTAAACTTTCACACAACATTTGGCACCAATTGAAAATATTACTTAAAATCAGAACCTAAGATCAGCTCTCCAAACGGAGTAATCTCCCTTCCTCTCCACCACAAATACCAGGTGGTCCCCGGGCTACGAACGCATCGACTTACGACCAACTTCCCATTAAGCGCATTACAGCCGGTCCCCAAGTTACGAATGAGCGATCTGCACTTATGAACAGCGCGGTCACATTTAAATGAATGGAGTCTGACTTACGAACAGATTGAGTTACGACCAAGTGTTTGGTATGTAACTCGTTCTAAAGTCGGGGACTATGTGTAGTCACTTTAAGTCACTACGTTTTTTTTGTTTGTTTTTTGTCCTGTATAAGTGGAGGTGAGTTTCCCTGGTGCATATGGGTGTCCATGTTCTCTATTCTCTCAGATGCTGCCCTCTTCCCTGGCTCCTTGTTGTCCTCTCCAATCCCACCCAGAACCTCTGAGTTGCACCAGATCCCACTTCTCTCTTTTTCCTGCAATCTCGGGCCCAAACAGTTGGGCCTGAAAGCAGGCAAGCCCTTCTCTTCTTACATCCCCTGGTTGCTATGGCTCCCATTCCCTGTAAACAAAGAGGAGAAGGCCCTTGATTGGCTCCTGGTGAGGATGGTTGCCTGGAAACCCCCCCAAGCATGCTTAGCAACCACTAATACAAAAAAAAAAAAAAAAAAAACACCCTCAGCCCTGGCCAGCAGAAACTCCAGGGTCAAGGAAGGAAGGTGGTAAGTTGATCCGAGTTGATGGGGTGTGAGGAGCCCAGGATGGGGTGGAGATTCAGGAATTGGGCTTTGTGCAGAGCATCTGAGATGTGTCAGGTCTGGTACTTTTGCCATGGTTACTGTGTATGTGAGAGAGAGGGGAGGGAGGGAGACGTGTTTGTTGTCTGTAGCACTAATCTCAACCCAGAAAAAGTAAGAAACCTTCTCTTCCTCCTGCCTTTCTCTGTGGCTTTTATTCAAATTTTCTCCATATAATTTGACCCCTCCCACCTCTCCAGCAGTCCCAAGGCCCTCATGTGACTTCTTCCATCCCCCACTCAAGGAACTGCATACCCTATCCACCCCACCCAAACTGGTTTTATTACAAATCTTTGCTTTTCGTACGTGCGCAAAAGGCCCCATTGGTGTTAAATGAACAAGTTGCTTGGTTGAAACCAGCAGGATTTGGTTGCAGGCTCTAATCCAGGGCTGGAGAAACCTTTTTTGGGTCGGGGGCCGCTGATCTGCAGAAAAATCAGTGTGGGGCCGCACCCTAGTGAAAATAAAAAACCCTCACTGACATTATCTCCACCTGAGGAGACAGACACTCCCCACATTCCCCTCGCCTCGGGGCTCCTAGCTTAGTAGATTTTGTGTGCTCCAGCCCCGCGGTAGGGCAGCGGGGGGCTGGAGCACCAGTTGGGCTCCCCAATGCGAGGGAAGAGGGAAGCTGCCCTGAGCCTCAGGGGCCAGATCCAGGCAAGCAGGGGTGGCATCCAGCCCCCGGGTCTGAGATTCTCCCCTCCCCCCCTCGCCGCCGCCCATGCTGTCAGTGGCAGAGTGCAGAGCCTCAGTAGGTCCCCAGTGGCCCATGTTCCCTGTAATCTTTGAGTTACTGTCTCCAGAGGGCAGTCTGAAGCATGCAGTGCTCTGTTGACAGATGGATGGGGTGCCCTCGCGTCTTTGTGACCTAGCGGCTTCGCGCCCATCCAGGCTGAGCATCGTGCGGGAGGGGCTGCACCTCTGTGTAGAAGAGAACGGCGACAATCCTGTTCTGCATCTGCAAAATAAGCGCAGCCTCAGGTCTCTGACCAGCCCAGCCCTGTGCGTGGTGAAGCGTGAATGGAACGGACTTTGATGCGCAGAGACGCATCCTATCACTTGCCTGGGCATGTGAAATACGGCAGGGAAATTCACTGCTGGAGCTGACTTTCCCAAGATCAGCAGTTGGGGGAGGTTGCCCAGTGAGCCGAGCAGGTGAAGGATGGACAGATGCATCATCCTCAGTCGGACCCTACCAAATCTGTGATCCATTTTGGGCAATTTCACTGTCACAGGATTAAAAAAATCGTAAATTTCATGCTTTCAGCGTATTTGAATCTGGAATTTCACAAGGTTGTAATTTTGGGAGTCCTGACGCGTGTGTGTGTGTGTGAGAGAGAGAGGGGTCTGTGTGTTTCACTTCTGTGCCGCTCCTGACAGCGGTGCTGTTTTCAGAGCTGGGCAGCTAGAGAGAGGCTGGTTGAGAGCATGGTATGATATTGCCCCCCTTACAGTGGCTCCTCTGTCTTCAAAGCTGGAGCCACGGTCAGCACCCACGACTCTCCTGGCAGTGCAGATCGAAGGGTGGCCACCCCATAGATATGCTTGTGACACCTGTGCAACTCCCTTTTGGGTCAGAGCCCCCCAATTTGAGAGAGACTGGTTACAGCCCCCCAGCCCTGTGGTGTCTGTGCTACAGAGGGTAAAAGCACACAAGACCCGATTTCACGATGCATTTTTCATGGCTGTGAATTTGGTAGGACCCTGGTCATCAGGTATTCCCAAGAAGGCACATTGTCAAAAGGGGATGCTGGTGGCTGAGAAACTTTTACTGTCCTTTTCTGTGCTTTCCAACCTCAAGGGGCATTCCCATGGCCAACAGGGAAGTCAGTCGATTGCTTGTTTTTTTCCCCTCTCTCTCTCTCTCCACTGAAGTGAGCTGCTGACATGGCCACGCTAAGTGTGAAGCCCGGACAGAGATTTACAGTACCAGACTGGCACACCAATGCCAACCTCATCTCTACCAATGCTGAGCGTCAGCGTTCTGCTTCCCATCAGATCAGGCAGGAAGCCAGAGTTCTCCGTAATGAAACCAACAACCAGGTGGGCTTCCTAGGTGCTTCGCTCTCCTTAAGAACATAATGGCCAGACTGGGTCAGACCAAAGGTCCATCTAGCCCAGTGTTCTGTCTTTTTACAGTGGCCAAAGCCAGGTGCCCCAGGAGGAATGAACAGAACAGGGGGATTGTCAAATGGTCCGTCCCTTGTTGCCCATTCCCAGCTTCTGACAAACAGAGGTCAGGGATACCATTCCTCCCCATCCTGGCTAATAGCCTTTGATAGACCTAACCTCCATGAGTTTATCTAGTTTTTATTTTAACTCGAATAGTCTTGGCCTTCCCAGCATCCTCTGGCAAGGAGTTCCACAGGTTGACACTGCATCATGTGAAGTACTTCCTTTTGTTTGTTTTAAACTTATCTATTCATTACATTTGGTGCCCTCTCTAGTTCTTGTATTATGGGAAGGAGTACATAACTCTTATTTACTTTCTCCACACAAATCATGATTTTATGGACCTTTGTTGCAATCGTATCCTCTTTTAGATTCCTCTTTCCTAAGCTGAAAAGTCCCCATTTTATTATTCCCTCCTCATATGGCATCTGTTCCAAACTCCTAATCATTTTTATTGCCCTCTTCTCAACTTTTTCCAATGCTGCTCCTTTTTGTTTGTTAAAGCGGTTTGCTGGCTGGGGCCAGGAGAAGGGAGTGTTTAAAGTCCTGTCTGGCTGAATGAATTGGAACGAGGAAGAAGTGTGTCCCATGTCAACTTTCAGATGACTGAAGCAGCCCTTTGGCTGTAATGATGGCTTGTTAGGAAGTGCTTGCTCAGTGTGAAATTAGCAAGGCCAGGTGAATGCTGGGGGTGAGAATAATCTTCCAATAAAATTGGTTCTAACATATAAACTCAGTTGATGTGGCCCATGCTCTCCCCAATTCTGTGTTCACCTTCTACAAATGCCTCATCAGCTCAAGTTTTACCCACAAAATTGGATTGAATACCCTGGAAAGGGTTTTTTTTTTTTTTTTAAATTTCACATCTGTGCACGTTCACACCTGAAATCTGATTAGAACAGCAACTTTCATCCAGTCATGAGACAGAGACAGATGTGACTAATCCAAGCTCTGTTGCTCAGCTGTACTTTTGGACTATGAATAGCAAGGTGCAGGGTGAACAAAACTTGTGTGAAATTGTCAGAGTTTGAATACATCTGTGAGAATGCCAGTCTGACTTTGTGGGCTAGGCCACTCCCACACCAGTGTTTATGTGGGCAAAATGTGTCACTTGGGGTACGTCTAGACTACAGGGTTTTGTCGACAGAATTTTTGTCAACAGATACTGTCGACAAAGCTTCTGTTGACAAAGAGCGTCTAGACTACATTCAGTTCTGTCGACAAAGCAAGCTGCTTTGTCGACAAAACCCTGTAGTCTAGACACAACCCTACATGAAATAACACCTTCTGTCGACAGAACTCTGTCGACAGAAGGCGTTATGCCTCGTAAAATGAGGTTTACCAGCGTTGACAAAACTGCTGAGTTCTGTCGACGTTATGTCGACAGAACTCAGCGGTAGTGTAGACGCAGGTATAGTTTTGTCGACGAAAGTCCACTTTTGTCGACAAAACTCTGTAGTCTAGACACACCCTTAGGGATGTGAACAAACCCCACATCTCTGAGTGACACAAGTTTCACCAGCATAAGTGGTACAGGTTGAATTGTTCTAGTCCAGCACTCTCTGGTCCGGAAACATTCTCTCTCTGGTCCGGTATGATTTTAGTTAACCAAATGTCCATAAAATTTGTTTGCAGCCACCGATTCTGGCTCTGTTCTGTGCTGTGATTTAGCTCTAGTTCACCCCTAAATGTCTTCTAAGAGCCCAGGAAGCGGCAGACATGTTGGTAATGCTTCCAGACAGTATGGAAAATTCTCTGGTTTAGAATGGGTCAAGTCCCGAGGATGCTGGACTAGAGAGGTTCATCCTGTAGTGTAGACAGTGCTATGCTGGAAGGAGAGTTTCTCTCCCTCGCTCCTGTGGATGCAAGTACAGCTGCATTGGTACTGCTGTGAGCTTGCTAGTGTAGATGTACCCTAAGTTATTTGCTGTGATTTATCTATTTAGATCTTAGTAGCCAGTGTGTTCCATTTTTAAAGCCAAAAAGGACTATCCAATCCGTCCTCCCTCACTAACGACTGGAACAATTTATGGAACAGTTGGTGGATTCTCCATCGCTTTCGGCCTTTACATTTTGTTCCTGGGGAGCAAATATTTGCTAATGGATTCTTCAGACTGGAAGGATCCAACAGCTGGACGTTGAAGCTGGAGAAATCCAGAATGGAAGTAAGGGGCATGTTTCTAACAGTGAGTCTAATGCACCACTGGGAAGACTTAACAAAGGGCTGGGGTTGATCCTCCATCACTGGTCATTTTTAAATCAGACTGGATTAAAAAAAAACAACCCAGACGATCTCGTTCAAAAGGAAACATGTTGGGAGCTTCCTCTGGCCTGTGTCGTAGAGGAGGCCATGCTGAAGGATCACAGTGGTCCCTTCTGGCCTTGGAATCTGATTCTGCACATCTGGGTGACTTTCGGAAAGCTCTGCTCTGGGTCAAGCAGAAGTTGCAGACTTGATGCAGAAATTGTTGGGGGGAAGCTCTTGGGTCTGTGGAGGGGCAGGACTCAGGGATCACAAAGGGACCGTCGGGCCTTCCTCTGTAAGACCTCCCATTGCTGCTGGGCCTACCTTGGCATTGGGAGTGGAGACCTACTGGCACCACTCACAAAACCCTTTCGCTAGGCCAGGGCGCCGGGTTATGGCTTGATCCCCCTTCTCTGCTGGGAACCTCCATAACGAAAACCATCCAATTCACTGACCACAGTTGGCCCTCCTGGTACAAGGCAGAAGCTCACTGCCTGAATATAGGCCCCATTGGATGCAGCCAGGTAACTGACATTGGGGGTTATTTATAGAGAGCGGTACGTGTGTAATAGGCCAGAGGGGTGCAGAGATCATATGATAGCTGTTACACTTTCCTTTTCCTGCACTGAATGCCCTCCCCCCCTTTCGCGGATACACAGGTCAGTTTCTCCCTGTCCTGTGCATAAAGGTATTAACGCTGCCTTAAACTTCAGAGCTACAATACATGGATCTCTGAATGCAGGTGTGTAGCTGGGTCAGCACTCCCCTCACACAAGCGCCCCCCTTTGTCCGAGTGTGGGTTCCTGCATTCTGTCAGTCTTAAAAGCCTTGTGGCTACTCAGCCCTCTAGCCAAGTCACACTGTGCAATCACAACCTCCTTCCGGGGTACACCTCTAACGGGCCCATCCCGGTGCCCTGTGTAGAGTGTGTCTCTGAGTTCAGTCTTTTCCCCTATGACAGTGGTGCCTCCTGGGCTTCTCCTCCTGGAGACAATGTTCTAAACAGCTCCCCATTCTGAGCGGTCCTTGGCTCTGCCAGACAGTCAGCCTTGGCCTTCTCTTTTCCAGGTCTGGACTGCAACTATCTTCCTCTAGTCCTGCAGCTTCCTATATAGTCCCTCGTGGCCCCTGATTGGCTGGGTTCCTCCTAGTGACTCTAGCCACTTGGAGGTCTGCTCTATGGCCCTTTTGGCCTTAGGGCCTAGCCCCATTACAAGGTGTTAGCAGTTCCTAGTCAGCTGCACAGAGAGAGAGTTTCATGGTAAACAAAACAACCCTTTACTACACATTCAACCTCTCATTGTAAATGGGGCATGTGGAATAATTTAGCAATAACTTTTATGCAAAAGCTATTCACCAGTAAACCTGTAGGTGTCCTTCCTGCAGATTTCTCCATTTTGCTGCCGTGACCTCTGTTTCAGCATGAGGTTTGACGGAACACATGCCCTTTTATAGAGAAGCTGGAAACAGCTCTCTGGACACAGCAGCAATTGCAGACAGTTCCTGCGCCTATAGTCAGCTGTCTCCTCAATTTCCAAGCAGACTGGGAATTTGCAGCCTGTCATCCCAAGTGGTACAGCTGCTGTGATGCAGCCTTCGCAACAGATCTCTCTGCACTTAGGTTGGACATTAGGAAAAACTTCCTAGTTGTCAGGGTGGAGAAACACTAGAATCAATTGATTAGGGGGGTTGTGGAATGTCCATCACTGGAAATATTTCAGAGCAGGTGAGACAGACACCTGCCAGGGATGATCTAGATCAGGGGCTGTTAAACATCTGGTTGGTGCAGCAGGGCTAAAGCAGATTCCCTCATTGCTCTGGATCTGTGTAGCTCCCAGAATTGGCTGCTGGGTCCCTGTGTCCCCTAAGCTCTGTGTGCTGCCCTCACCTCCAGCGCCAACTCCACAGCTCTCTCTGGCTGCGAACATAGAGCCCTCTGATCCCTCTGCCTAAAGGTCGCAGGGACATGCTGGCTGCTTCCAGGAGCGGTGAGGACCCAGGGCAGGTGGAAGTCTGCACTACCCGTGCTGTTCTGCTTAGGAACGTGAATGTGTATCTGTGTGGTTCCATTGGTTAATGCACATGGTTATGCACAGCTCCCTCCCTCCCACCCCTGCTGCTGCCTCTGTAGTGGGGGAGAGGTGGGAGCCAGATTTCAAACTCCTCACGGAACCGCCCTCCCCCCCCACCTCGGTGCTGCCTCTGATGCAGAGGTAGCAGCAGCGGAAAGGTGGGAGCTGTGGGTAACCAGCTTTGCACATATACCAGCTCCTGTGAGAGCCATCTCCTCCGCCTACCATGTGAAAAATGTCAGCACTTACACCTCTACATAAATGCATTTTAACATCCCTGCCAGGAGCCATCTGAGGTAAACACTGCCCTCCCAGGCCCTTAAACCCATGTCCACCTCAACCCCTTGTCCCAGCCCTGAGCCCACTCCCATGCCCCAACCCTCTGCCCCCACCTAGTGGAAGTGAGGGAGAGTGATGGAGAAGGGGTGGGACAGCGGGCTGGAGTGAAGGGGGGGGGCTCGGAAAAGGGGCGGGGTGTTTAGTTCTGTGCAATTTAGAAAGCTGTTTACAAGAGAGAAAATCACACAGCCGTGCGGATTTGTGGGTGTGCCAGTGTTCATGGAGACACTGGGTTTGATGCTTTAGTGGCCTGTACCTTGTGTGGTTATTTCCATTAGTACAAAGCAGGGGCAACACACCGGACTACCAGAAGCAATGCTAGTCCTTCACATGCAAGGCACTGTCTAGGCCGGTGAAATGATCCTAAGTCTTCACAATTTCAGCGACCAGGAATGGATTGAATTGGGGTCTCTTTTCATTCTAGACGCATTGGGACGAGCATGACAACCGAACGCGACTCGCCGAGCGCATCGACAGCGTGAACCGATGGAAGGAGACCTTGGACAAATGCCTCACCGACACAGACACCGAAATCGATGCCTTAATCAAAGTACGCTGGGGAAGCAGGTGGCTTCAACTCAACTATGCTTTTCATCCATGAGCCAGGCCTGGGCAGACTCCTGTGTAGGGCTTAGGATCAGAGACGCTGAGTTCAGCTGAGAGTCACGGCCTTAAATTGTGTTCAGTAAAACAAACCCCGTTTCTTCTGTCCCTGGCTGAGTTGAGGCATTGCATTGCGCTGAGTGTTTCATATAGTCTCCCTTCTTAGAAAAATATCTGCAGGGAGAACACAGCAATTCATGAAATGCCAAACTTTTAAAAAACTTTAAGAAATAATGAGAGGATTTTAAAAAAACATTTATTGGGAGCTCAACAGGAAAAATTAGGCAGGAAAAATTCAAGTCACGTCTTTTCTTAAGTTAGAATGAGGAGTTTGCGTCTCCTCATTTAGCTTCACCGAAGGCTAAATCTGTTTTGTGCATTTCCCCGAGGCCTTGCCAGGGACTCACTGCAGGGCCACCAGCAGGTCGCACATTCTCTTGAACCTGGGTTTTCCGACATGTACGATAGGGATGGAGCTGCTGTAGCTGGGGGCGGGGCAGAATATTTGCAAAGATGAGGTCGTCAGAGAAAGGGATATTGCAAGGGCTGGGATCAACTGGAAATGGGAAAGTATTTTTGGTCCTGTCGGACTTTAGGGTCGCCAAGGGGGAGAAGCCCCTAAGCTCCTTTTGCTCCAAAAATCATGGGAGAGCTGAGTGTGAGCTGAGGGGCTAACAGCATTAGCACGTCGCCTCTGAACTGCGGGCCTTATAGACCAGTGATGGGCCACATAGACTAACGGCCCTCTTCATATCAGCGATGGCAAGGTTGTCGTAACCAAGACGCTGTCCCGGGAGAGGGTAGCCTTGCTCCCTGCGCTTGCCTGTCTGGAATGTGCAGGCTGGGCCGACTGAACCGTGGCAGCGCTTTGACTGGATGCAGAGGGAGCGCCCGGCTCTCCCAGTCAGCGTGGTGTGCGCCGTCGGCCCGCCCCTCCCTCCCTTGCTTTCATAATACTGATAGGAAACAATGACACACTGGAAACTGGCAGAATCTGGCAACCCCGCGCAAACGCAACCCCGAACAAAATGTCTCGCGGGCCTCCCTTTAGAACCCCAGTGGGCTACATCCAGCCCTCAGGCCGCAGGTTGCCCAGGCCGTCAGCTGGGGCACCTTGCGCCCAGTAGATGGCAGCCGTGCACCACTCGCGACAAGGCTTAAAAGCTGCTTCCAGCCGTAGCAAGGAGGAGGGACTGGGTGGGAGGGCCTGGGTAGAGCCCTGCAAGCCGGCAGCTACCAGCTCCGTGCCGGTGGGTGTGGATGGGAATGTCCAGGATTCATTTTTGCGGCTATGGGAGCGCATGCGGACACTACCAAGAGGGCTCTACACAGGTGCTTGTCCCACTCCGCCCTGCCCAGCGACCACCAGGAAGCGAGGTCGGGGCGATCCTGCGGAGGAGTGTGGTTGGGGTGTTGGTCCCACTCCCCGCCCACCCCACCTGGCACTCCTAGTGGGGATGGGACAAGCACCCATGCCCTGGCCACGCTCCCCAGTAAGCACAGGACAGGACAGAGCCGGACAAGCATCCCGAGGACCCACCTGCACCTGCTCCTCCTGAAGGAGCACTGCGAGACCGCTTGCTGCTGTTGAGGTGCAGGTGTGGACGTGGGTGCCCATAAAAAGGCAGGGAGCAGATTGCGGATGGGATGCACGTTGTTTCCAGTGGATGTGGGTGGATCCGTGTTTTTATCTGCATGCATGGTGCTGGGCAATCGCCATGGGAACTGCCGCGCACCTTCCCCCCAGAGGAAGGGCGGCACCCCTCACCCACGCTGCCTTCTCCCCCCGCAGATGAAGGAGGCCGCAGAACGTGCGCTGCAGGCCAAGAACTTGCCCTTGGATGTGGCCATCGAGTGCTTGACGCTTCGGGAGAGCCGCCGAGCCATTGACGTGGTGAAGGACCCGGTGGAGGACGAGCTGCACAAGGAGGTGGAGGTGATCGATGGAGCCAAGAGAGACCTGCAGCAGAAAGTGAGCGAGGCCTTCGAGCAGCTCTGGTGAGTCGAGCCGCAGAGCTCGGGCTGGGTCCCACCGCACCGGTGGATTCCAAATCGTACACGTCTCTCTCCGCGGGGCTCTGGGCTGGACGTGCCTCCAGGCTGGCCAGCGTCTGAGCAGAGCCTTGGCTGTTAAACGTGGTGTCAGCATCTCAAGGGGACACCCAGTAGCAGCCCTGGCCGGAGTGGACCCGTTAAGAACAAACGGTGGACATACTGCTGGAATAATGGCAGCGAATAGGTAGGCCTGAACTTTTGCCCCAGTAGCTCTGGATCCCCGGGTGGGACCCTGAACATCCCGGCCCCTCCAAGGCAACTCATGCCCCGAAGCACATGCTGCTTTCCAAACACGACCCTGCTGTGCCCAGCTTTCTGGGCGCTCCGCCCTTCTGGGTCACTGCACTTCAGGCCTGCTCGGGCGGTGGGTTCAAGGAGCAGCTATAGCTGAGCCACCAAATAATCACCGTGGAGGCTCAAACGGGGCCAGCCTGGTGCTATAGAATCTCATTGTTTGTTTGTTTGTTTATTTTAAAAAGCCCAGTCAGGTCTCTAGCCCACAGAGGTCCCCAGAAAGCTCGGGAAATGTGAACTGAGTTTAGGCCAGTTGGCTGGCTGGTCTGACTCTCTCTGTCACCTCGGATGGACAAGTCGCCGTGTCCTCTGAGTGAACCAGTCTGGCAGCCCAGGTCTGACTCCGGTTTGTTCACCATGTGCTGCATGATCTGTCTGCCAAGGAGATGTGTTGTCACTGACTCTTCCAGTCATGGGCGGTGGGTGAAGCTAGGGCTGGGGGGAGGCAACTCTTCAGCCCCGCCTCTTCTACCTGAGGCTTCACCCCTTGCAGGAGCCAACCCCGTTACCCTCCCCCCCCTTGGGGCAGAGCTCCAGCTCTTCCCCTCTCCCCTCAAGCCACCTTCCACTGTAGGGGCAGGTCTCCAGCACCCCCTGCATGAGCCTCTCCAGCCCTGGAGCATGGGGAGGGCGGGGGGCACGTGGTCCCCAGCCTCAGCGTGGCTGAAGCCTGGTGGCAGCCCAGGAGGCACAATGAAGCAGGGGGTGAAAAGTGGGCGGGGCCACGCCTGGCAGTTTGGGAAGGCAATGCCTCCCCCTGCCTCTCACACCCACTGCCCGTGGTTCCAGTGCCACCTTTTCCAGCCAAACCGTGACCAATGCCTCCCCCTGCCTCTCACACCCACTGCCCATGGTTCCAGTACCACCTTTTCCAGCCAAACAGTGATCAATGCAGCTTGTCCTGCCCTTTCCTTTGGCAGCCTCTTGCAGGAAGCCCGTCAGCAGCTCAACTTCGATCACCGGGGTAAAATGGAAGCCCTGGAGATAGACCGGGTCTGCTCCTCCCTCAACGTCAACTCACCCAACATCTCGTTCAAGGTCAATCCAACCCGGGTCCCAGTCGGGTAAGGGAAAAACCAGGCCCCTCCTGGCCAAACCTTGGCTGCTTTAACCTTCATGCTGACGCTGGAAAGACGTGGGACTCTTGCCACCATGAGCTGAGTTTCTGGTGCTTTGCGGAAATGACTTGATCGACTGGCCTAGAGTTTAAAACACCAAGAGCCGGATTCAGGGCTGTCTGACCGGCTCTGCTGCTGGCAGGGAGTGAGATCAGATGCAGTCCTCGGGGAAGAAAGCCTTTCTCCGTACTTCCAGTGATTGTTGTTACCAGTAACCACTGGTCCTTCCTGAGCACTCTCCCTCCGTCTGAGTGTTTCAAAGCACACGTGAACCTCAGAACAATCCTTGTGATGCAACTTAACAGCACCCCCATTTTATAGAACGGGAAACTGAGGCACAGAGGGGGAAGTGAGTTGCCCAAAATGTCCCGGCAAGTGAGTGACAAACTTGGGGTGAGAACCTGCCTCCCTGTCCTCTGTTGTAACCACTGGACCATGCTAGTTTCACAGGGAGGGTAACAATTCACCCAAGAGGGTGGGTGCATTCAATGTTTGGATATCTCAAAAGGATTCCCTGGTCTGTTATGCAGCAGGTTGGATACAATGATCAGAGTGGTCCCCTCTGGTCTCGAAATCTGAGTCTCTTTGCAGCTTTAGGAAGTTTTTCCTACCTTCGCATGGGGAGGTTCCTCTTTTGCAGACACTTTGCCTGTTCCCCAAGGGGTGGGTCTGAACCGTCTGTCCCGTTGTGCGCACTTGGCATTCTAGATCGACCACGCCGCAGCAGTGGGACCAGTACAGCCAGTACAACAAGGACCGAGCGGAGGCAGAAATGAAAGCCTCCACGGAGCTGCGGGAAGCCATCGCGCTCACCATTGCCCAGGTAAATGCAGAAGCCGCAGGTGCAGTTAAGGGATGTTAAGCCAGGTGACGCGTTCCCCGGTAGAGAAGACTGGACCAGTGCAGCCTGCTTCCCAGCTTCGAAATAGGCAGCAGGTTAGATGGTGCTTTTGGGGGAGGGAAGGTTTGAAGAAGCCAAATCAAAATTAGCCCGACAGCTCCCATCTGAAGAGCTCCGCCAAAACTGGGTTGGTCCTGTGATGTGGTGTTGCTTCTGGTTCAGGGGAAGGGATGTTTTCTTTGGTGGTTGGAGGACTGCTGGTTTCCTGGATAGCGATTAAAACAAAAAACAAGTGTGTCTCGCTAGATTATCACAGCTCCCCACAGATCTCACCAGGCATGGGCCTTGTCCCAGAGAGCTTAGACTTGGACACAAACCAGACGGGGCCCACAGAGCCGTGTAGGAAGGGTCTGGGTAGAAGGGCTACTCTACGCTGGCATGACTTTCCGGAAATGCTTAAAACGGAACAGTTTTCCGTTATAAGTATTTCCGGAAAAAGCGCGTCTACATTGGCAGGATGCTTTTCCGGAAAAGCACTTTTTCCGGAAAAGCGTCCATGCCAATGTAGACACGCTTTTCCACAAAAAAGCCCTGATCGTCATTTTTGCAATCGGGGCTTTTTTGCGGAAAACACTTCTGTGCTGTCTATACTGGCCCTTTTCTGGAACAGTTTTCCGGAAAAAGGACTTTTGCCCGAATGGGAGCAGCATAGTATTTCTGGAAAAGCGGCTGATTTCTTACAGTAGATTGTCAGTGCTTTCCCGGAAATTCAAGGGGCCAGTGTAGACAGCTGGCAAATTATTCCGGAAAAGCGGCTGATTTTCCGGAATAAGTGGCCAGTGGGGACACAAGGAGTTTTGGAAGAGAAGAGGGATGTTTGTTGAAACATTGGGAGATGTGCCAGGTGTTTCAGGCATAGAGAGGGCTATTGACCAGGACCCAGCTGCTGAGAGTTGTTTCCTTCTACTCCCCATCTGCCTGTCTATGTATCTGCCCTGTGTCTTTATATTGACATGATGCTGTAAGTTCTTTGGGGGCAGAGGCTCTGTTGGTTCTCTGTACAGCACCTAGCGCAGTGGGGTCCTGGCCTTGACCGGACTCCTGGGAGTTGTGACCGTACAAATAATAAAGAGCAGTGCATGCCAGGGGGGTGATGAAGGGCACGAGGAGACTGGAGAGGAGCACAGGAATGGGCAGGCGACAGGTGAGATCATGCAGGGCCCTGAAAGCGAGAGGGGTATGTTCCAGAGGGAGCAGGGTAATTGCTTTAACAGTGCTGCAGAGACATCTCCATGGCCGTAACCTGTTGTCCCTCTAGACAAACAACGAGCTGGAAGCTCAGCGAGTGGCCACCGAGTTCGCCTTACGGAAGAGGATCCGGGAGTTTGAAAAAGCTTATGACGAGCTGAAGTGGCAGGAGAAGAACGTAAATTTCGGGCTTCTTTCCTTCACCTTCCAGCGCCCTGCAGTGCGATTCTAGCGTCAGAGCGTATCTCTGGCAAGGGGGACATGAAACGATTCCTCGCTGCGGGTCAGCACATCCCCGCGCAAGAGGCATTTCTGTCTGAAACCTCTTGGCACATCCACCCCCTGGGGCATCTCGACCTAGCTTGGCTCTCTCACTGCCTTGTGGGATTGCTAAACCTCTATCCCCCAACACCCAGCAGGAGCAGCTTGTGTACCAGGAGCAGCTTGTGTACCATTCAGAGGGGGTCAGTATGCCTGGCTGATCAGATACAGCTGCAACACATGCTGTTGTTCCTCCCAGGGAGAAACCATTCTCGCCCACACGGGGTCAGCTGAACCCAAGCTAATGCCTTCGTCTCAGGTGTGGCGATTGCCTGATACAACCGGCCCTTGTAAAATGCATCAGGGTGTGGACAGGAGGCATCAGTTGTATGAGCTCATGGTATCCCAGCCATGGCCTCCTTGCAATGCTCAGGTCAGCTGATCAGTTGATGTGAAGAGGCTAGTCTGACACCACAAACAAATCGACTTGGCTGACCCCACTCCTTGAGTTTTATCCCTGCTACTCAAATACAAAGGGAAATTCTGCTTTTTCCAGTTGATTCTGTGAAGGAAGAGAAATGTAATTAGAGGTATCACAGAGGGATGAGCAGAGAACTGCTTTGAATCCAGCCCTGCTCAACACCGATTGAAAAATCATAGAACACTAGAACTGGAAGGGACCTCAAGAAATCAAGTCTAGTCCCCTGCCCTCACGGCAGGACCAAGCACCATCTAGACCATCCCTGATAGATGTCTATTCAGCCTGCTCTTAAATATCTCCAATGATGGAGATTCCACACCCTCTCTAGGCAATTTATTCCAATGTTTAACCACCCTGACAATTAGGAAGTTTTTCCTAATGTCCAACCTAAACCTCCCTTGATGCAATTTAAGCCCATTGCTTCTTGTCCTATCATCAGACGTTAAGGAGAAAAATTTTCCTCCCTCCTCCTTGTAACACCCTTTTAGGTATGTGAAAGCTGCTACCATGTACCCTCTGACTTCTCTTTTCTAAACTAAACAAACCCAGTTCTTTCAGTCTTCCCTGATAGGTCATGTTTTCTAGACCTTTAATCATTTTTGTTGCTCTTTTCTGGACTTTCTCCAATTTCTCCACACCTTTCCTGAAATGCTCCCATAGGAAGCCCGTTCAGTCAGTGGTGTGAGTGAATAATTCAGTGGTTCTCAGTCCACAACACAATTGCTTGGTGGAATCTGCAAGCTGAAAAGTCAACTTGGGCCCTTATGTTTCATCCTTATAACCCAGCCACAGTGGTCCTGAGACAGCTGCAGCATGCCTTGCCAGACTGGTGTGGAAACTGGATTTTTAAGCAATGATGCCTAGTCCACATAAATTTAGCAAACTGTTTTTCATCCATTTGAGTGGAAGCCCCTTAGTAAGAACATAAGAACGGCCGTACTGGGTCAGACCAAAGGTCCTTCTAGCCCAGTATCCTGTCTACCGACAGTGGCCAACACCAGTGGTTTAAAAACCACTCCAGGCCTGGTAAAACCTCAGAGGGGCTGAAACTGGCTTGAATATAGCTGGTTCCCTATCTAGAGCTGATGGGAATTTCTGGAGCCCCGCAAGCCAGTCTTTGAGTGCCCCCTTACTAACCTGGATACCTGCAAGGGCAGGATGGTATCCATCCCTTGGGCTCTATGTGTTAATCCTCAGACCTTGGAGGAAATTGCTGAGATGGAAGAGGATATCCGACGCCTGGAGGAAGATCTCAGGAAGAAGATGTGGGATCTGAAACTCGCACACACTCGCCTGGAGACCCGGACGTACCGCCCCAACATGGAGCTGTGCCGGGATCAGGTACAGATGAGCCTGTAGGCTGGACATTTGTATGTGCGGAGGGGTGGATACGAGCCTGGTACCCCCATTGTCCATGAGGGATTTGAAGTTGAGGGTGGAACCCTAGATAGTGCTGAAGTGGATTCAATGTAGGGATGTTAAATATTGGTTAATCAAATAGTCGATTAACCTCATGATTTTCTATCGGTTACTGGACTATTCTATAGTCCAAAGGAGACCCTTGCCATCCGAGGCAGCAGTGCACGGTGCTAGGCAGGAACTGGTACACAAGGGGAGCCAGTTGAAAAAACAGCTCCCCTCGCAGACCAGCTGCCTGTTGCCCCACGCTGCTGCCTCTGATACAGAGGCAGCAGCATAGGGTGGCAGAAGCTCCTGTCCCAGGTGAGGAAAGGGGGGGCTGAGCTCCTGGACCTGGTGCAGGATGGAACTGAGCCAGGCAGTCTGCCCATATGACTCCTAATACACTTTAAATGTAGAGTCGCAGTGAGGGTAGGTCCTGGACCTGGCACAAGCCAGGACTGAGCTGGGCTGCAGGCCAGCCTGCTAAAAAAATTTACTGGCAAGGGGCGGGGGGAAATGCATGTAGTCTATAGCATTAACCTATAAGCTTTTGCTTATCGGTTAATTGGTTAATCGACTACACTATTACATCTCAAAACCAAAGCATTTCTCTGGGCTCCAAAATACATTTAGGTGTGAACTGAATGGAGACTGAAAGAGGAATAAAAAAATAAAATGCTGTGAGAGTTAAAGCATAGAAACAAAGGGGTGCAGGAGCTGGGCTATAGGGGGAATTGGAGGAATCATAGTAACTAGCAAACCCCGGTGTCAGCTCTTATGGCCTGTCCCTGACTCCTAGGTGCAGTATGGGTTAACTGACGAGGTCCACCAGCTGGAAGGCACCATCGCTGCCCTGAAGCAGAAACTTGCACAGTCACAGTACGTTCCTAGTGGTTTGGGAGTTAGGTTCCAAGGCATTTAATAACATTTAATAATGTTAACAAGCACCAGAAGGTGCTTTGTACCCTTCGGTGCTGAGGGCACTGAAGGTCAGAAACGTGCATGGCGGGAGATGGGTAGGGAGCTGTAGATTAGACTGCAGGGGGCGCTGCAGATCAGGAACGGTGTATGGCGAGAGGTGGGTGGGGAGCTGTGGATTAGACAGCCGGGGGCGCTGCAGGTGCATGGCGGGAGGGGGGTGGAGAGCTGTGGATTAGACAGCAGGGGGCGCTGCAGGGGCAGGGCGGGAGGAGGGGGGGGAGCTGTGGATTAGACAGCCGGGGGCGCTGCAGGTGCATGGCGGGAGGGGGGTGGAGAGCTGTGGATTAGACAGCAGGGGGCGCTGCAGGGGCAGGGCGGGAGGAGGGGGGGGAGCTGTGGATTAGACAGCCGGGGGCGCTGCAGGTGCATGGCGGGAGGGGGGTGGAGAGCTGTGGATTAGACAGCAGGGGGCGCTGCAGGGGCAGGGCGGGAGGAGGGGGGGGAGCTGTGGATTAGACAGCCGGGGGCGCTGCAGGTGCATGGCGGGAGGGGGGTGGAGAGCTGTGGATTAGACAGCAGGGGGCGCTGCAGGGGCAGGGCGGGAGGAGGGGGGGGAGCTGTGGATTAGACAGCCGGGGGCGCTGCAGGTGCATGGCGGGAGGGGGGTGGAGAGCTGTGGATTAGACAGCAGGGGGCGCTGCAGGGGCAGGGCGGGAGGAGGGGGGGGAGCTGTGGATTAGACAGCCGGGGGCGCTGCAGGTGCATGGCGGGAGGGGGGTGGAGAGCTGTGGATTAGACAGCAGGGGGCGCTGCAGGGGCAGGGCGGGAGGAGGGGGGGGAGCTGTGGATTAGACAGCCGGGGGCGCTGCAGGTGCATGGCGGGAGGGGGGTGGAGAGCTGTGGATTAGACAGCAGGGGGCGCTGCAGGGGCAGGGCGGGAGGAGGGGGGGGAGCTGTGGATTAGACAGCCGGGGGCGCTGCAGGTGCATGGCGGGAGGGGGGTGGAGAGCTGTGGATTAGACAGCAGGGGGCGCTGCAGGGGCAGGGCGGGAGGAGGGGGGGGAGCTGTGGATTAGACAGCCGGGGGCGCTGCAGGTGCATGGCGGGAGGGGGGTGGAGAGCTGTGGATTAGACAGCAGGGGGCGCTGCAGGGGCAGGGCGGGAGGAGGGGGGGGAGCTGTGGATTAGACAGCCGGGGGCGCTGCAGGTGCATGGCGGGAGGGGGGTGGAGAGCTGTGGATTAGACAGCAGGGGGCGCTGCAGGGGCAGGGCGGGAGGAGGGGGGGGAGCTGTGGATTAGACAGCCGGGGGCGCTGCAGGTGCATGGCGGGAGGGGGGTGGAGAGCTGTGGATTAGACAGCAGGGGGCGCTGCAGGGGCAGGGCGGGAGGAGGGGGGGGAGCTGTGGATTAGACAGCCGGGGGCGCTGCAGGTGCATGGCGGGAGGGGGGTGGAGAGCTGTGGATTAGACAGCAGGGGGCGCTGCAGGGGCAGGGCGGGAGGAGGGGGGGGAGCTGTGGATTAGACAGCCGGGGGCGCTGCAGGTGCATGGCGGGAGGGGGGTGGAGAGCTGTGGATTAGACAGCAGGGGGCGCTGCAGGCCAGGATTGGCAAAACTGGGCTTTGGTTGCACTACATTTATAGAATTGGCGGCGGGGGGCGGAACTGGACAAACAACTGGGGAAATGGAACCACTGCCTGGGATTTGGGTTGGAGTCCCATTGCCGCGGCGCTTGCGTTTTGCATTCTAGTAGCAGCATGTGGGCTTGCTATTAAGAGGCCTGAGCCATAAAACAGCGTGTCGGGAGCTCCCTCTGTCACTCCAGTGTGCGTTAGCTTGAATGCAAAGGCAAAAGCGGAGCTGCTTTACTGTGGTGGGGGCAGAGCAGGAAGCTGGCTGTTTGTCAGGTGAAATGCCAGCAGACAAGTACCGTGGCACCTTTTGCTTTGCTCAGGGATGCCCTAGACGCGCTCTACAAACACCTGTACCGCATCCAAACTGATATGAGCTACAAAGCCAACTCCCTGCTGCTGGACAACAAGTGCATGGACAGCAGGAGAAAACTCACAGTCCCCGCGGAGAAATTTGTGCCGGAGATTGACACCTTCAACCGCACCACTAACCGGACCCTCTCGCCCCTGAAGAGCAGGCAGCTGGAGCTAGCGTAAGCCTCTGGGCAGCAGAGCCGCGCCGAAGATAAAACTCCTAGTGAGTCAGTTCCGTAGCAAGGGAAGCCGACATCTGTGTTGTGTTAGATCAATGTTATTCTCCTGCCCCCGAAGTTGTTTTATAACTGTCTGTCCCCTTGCAGGATTTTTATAGCTTCTTGCACTTCAAGGAGCATTATAAACAATAAAGTCTGTCCCCACCAGCACTTGTCATCTGACCGCATTGGAAGCGTTTTACGGTGATTGAATCCATGTGGGCTCAGTCTCGAGTGTGTTTTAAGTCCTTTAAAGGGCCGGGTTGCGCTCTCGGAAGGAGCTGTGCCACACTGGGGCCTCTCCAGGTCTTCCCCCCCGTGCAGACAGTCAGATCTGCCTGCTTTCGCGTTTCAAATAAAGTTGTGGGTTTTTGTGTTTTTTTTTTCCTCTTCGCTTTGCGGAACCACCCCAGCTACAAGACAGGGAGCTGGAGTCCATTCTGGCTCTTGTGGCAATAAATGTGCGAACTAAGAGTTAATTGTGTAGTCGCTGTGTCCCAATAGTGCTTGCTATGTGCTAGAACTTTTTTACACGCTCGAAGACAAAAGTCGCTACTCCAGGCGTTCGCCATTGAAAACTTGTTATGCGGGTGAAATTGGGCTCAGGGTCTAGCCTGTCTGTCTGTGTCTGACTCACTCTTCATCCACCAGTGTTATGTTTCTGGTGCTACAGTAGTGGTCCCTGTAGAAAAGAAAGCTGTTAGATTTCCTGATCTCAAGGTGAGTTTGCAGGAGTGGAATTCCGGGGGAAACCCCCATCTTCATGTCTGCCAATTGGGGATCCACTTGGGCAGGTTCATAGTATATCCACCAGCCTGTGATTTTTTTTTAAAATAGGGGTTGCCTTCTGCTCTGGAGCCTAAGCATTGATTTTTAAAAAGTCCTGCCTATGCTGGATTGTCTAGCCACCGTGACAAGGCTGTGCCAATCCCTAGGGTAACAGTATAGCTATGTACTGTAACAGTCCCTTCTACTGTGACAAAATACAGGCCTATGTAGCATTTTAAAGACTCACAAGATGGTTTATTAGCTGATGAGCTTTCGTGGGCCAGACCCACTTCCTCAGATCACTAAACTAACAGGGCTACATTTCTAGCGCACTTCTACTGTGCTTATTGAGATTAAGCATTTGCACTGCTCTAGCTGCGCTGGTGCCTAGACACCGGCTGTGGAGCAGGCTTCGGACTTGCGTAATTGCAGCCTTTTAACTCCTGGACCCAGCTATAAACTAACGTACTGCTGGGGGCGGGAGACAGGCGGCCGCCTGAAACAACCAGCGGGTCGGGGCTGAAGGAGCCGATCCCGCGCTCCCCGCGCAAGCCTAATGCGAATTGAAGTGGCACGAATGTGAATTCCTGCGCTGCGGATCCACCTCGGTAGGGAGAGAAAAAGGGCAGAGGCGCCTCCCAGGGGCCAAGGAGCAACGCCCCCCCCCCCAGGCTCTAATGTCAT